CTATTAAATATATAAAATAGTTTTCTATATAAGGCATTTTATATATAAGAACAATTTTGTAGGTCCTGATAGTGTGAGTATATAGGAGTGCAACTATATATTACCTTTCATAATGCTTATAAAAGTCCAGAAGTAATTGATGAATTTCTAATATATTGATATCAGAAATTATACATTTTTGGTATAGTTTAACTGCTTGAACATATTTGGACCATCCAAGAAGAAATTGTACTGATAAATGATTTTTTAATAAGGGCAAAGAATGTAAAGTTATCCAATTAGCCCATTCTTCAGCCTTATATCCATCTTAATGTGTGACTATATTTCTTGATGAACGTCCAAAATCTGGAGGCATAATCTTTTTTGATTCGGTCATTAAATTCCCAATATCTTTCCAGATGTTTTTTTGTAATATATATTCATTATCATTTAGAGCATCATTCAGATGAAAGCATCCATACCAATGTTGAAACATGTATTTTGAAATATTCTCATAGAGTAGATGCATAATATCAATCGCAAAAGAATCAGAAAATTTTACAGAATGCAATTCAAACAGAATACTTCGTTTGGTAATTCCTTTATTATGAATAAGAATTTAAATTCAAATATAAATATAAATATAAATATAAGTACAGTCATACTCCCATATTATTACACCATTGGGACTAACAAAAAGTAGTTTTATATATATTTAATAATAGTTGTTCAGAAAATCAATGTGTTATATAGATGCTTATATAAGAGTGTGACTGTACAAATATACTCGCATGTATATAAAATATTACCAAGTTGTGATTCTAATTTTTTTTGATTTTTTTTAGATAATGCATTAGCATTTTCTAATTTTTGAATTTGCTGAAGGTATTTACTATGTGTTTTTCATAGTAAATTTGCTGGATCATAGATAGTTCCCTTTTTTTTTTTAGTAGAATAGTTGGATAATAAATATGATTAAAATAAACACCTTGCAATTCACAATATTGACAGCCTTGATATGAATTATGTTCAGTAGTACACATAAGTTTAGTTAAAGCTGGTGTGTCACCTGACCAAGAAACGATGAAGGCATGAAGAATAAAAATTTCTTGGTTCTTTAATCCATCACAACATACAACTCTATCTAAAAATATAAGTTATTTTAGTTTAATGATAATTTACTTTTAAGTAAGTATAATATTACTTTCTAATTCCTTTAGTTCATCAACAACTGGTCTTAAAAATGTATTTAAATTTTTAGGTTCATTGAGACCAGGAATTATGACAGTTATCAAGAGATTTTGTCGTTTTACACGATTTTCAGAAGGGATATTTGCATTTAAAAATAATATAACCCAACAATCATCAGTTTTCTGATGAAATATTTGATATCCATCAAGAGATCCAACTAATGCAATGTCTCGATAATCAGAAAAATATCCATTTTCTACTAAATCTTTATATCGTTTATCATCAAATATATCACCATATTTATTTTTATTATATTCAAAGTGTGTTGTATAATTATATCAATATTGCAGCTCTTTTGATTGGGTAAAATCAGCGTATTGAAGTATAAACTGATCTTTAAGTGAAAAAAATGCTATTTTTTTTCGACTATTTCCATTTTCATAATGTGGCTTACTACAACAATGACATAATTTCACTTTTCTAAACTCGCCTGTAAAGGCCATACAACTCTTTATAAACATGTCAATCCATCTGGGCTCAATCTGAACTATACTAGTAAGTATTTTTGTCGCTTGGTGTTGGCTAATTTGTTCATTACTAAATTCTGTCATCACTTGTTGATAAACATTATTAGCCATATTTAATCAAACTTTGATATCTAGTAATCATAATGCTTCTGAATATCCTGGTAGAAGTTGATCTTTTAAACTATATAGTTAGTGTAAAATAGATATTAATTATTTGCTCAAAACAAAATTCTAATTTACATACAATTATCGTTAAACTCTGTATTAGATATTAAATCGTCAATAGAGGTTGTATCATCAGTCAAGGTCGCATCGTCAGTTGAGGTTGCATTGTCAATCAAGATTGCATTGTCAATCGAGGTTGCATTAGAAAATATTGTATCTTCAACTTAAACATTATTGAATAATTCTGGATCTTGTCTATTATTAAAGATAAATTAGTGCTAGAAATAGTATTCATATTTTTGAAAATTAACAACTTCAAAAATATATATATACTCTTTATATAAATCAATATTAGTAGCTTCTTGATTGCTTGCTAAAATTAGCCTTTCTTCAAGTATTTCAGATTTTGATTCTTTTTTTTTTAATAAATTATCTTTTAATTTATGCCGGTATCGAGTTGTTCTATGTGTCAATCTGTAGCCACTAGGGCTAAGCTGACAAATTCTGCAAGTACATTTTATTACTTTCTTGTCTTTGTTATGCATTTTTTTTTTTTGTTTGAAATTCGAAAATTAATATTTAAATTTCATTTTGTAAAAGCATAAGTATATTGATTACGCTAATAAGTATATATTAAACAATACTGATTACGAATGTGATCTGAATCTCACTAAAGATAAATTTGATCTGATCAATGTTTAATTAATTTTGACCTTTTCCAAACATATGCTCTTATATTTACTTGTTGAAAACAGACCATATACTAATAGTCATATCTAATTTATTATTATTATTAGAATTATGTCAAAAAATAAGGGCAAAGGTAAAGCCGTTAGTGATAACAATGATAATTATATTGAGAACGAAGACTCTCTGGGGCTTTCTGATATGAAAGAGCAGACCAGTGCTTATTTTAGTGATATAGATGCTGAAGAAAACTTTGAAGTTCAGTATCAAGAAGAACTTGAGAAAATCCATATGCTTAAAAAGCAAATAGAACAGATGCGTCGTAATATAAATAAGGAAAGAAGCGATAGTCAAATTCAGAACATAAACCTAATAGCAAAAAATCAAATAAAATCAACTGCCCAGAATAATGAGAAATCAGCAAACAAATTTAATACGAAGCTGGTAACTCAAGGCAATATGAAATTGGCAACAAAATATGGTACCAAGTATTCTATTAAACCTACAACTACTACTCATGTGAAGTTGCCTAAGGACAATTCTAAGTTAGTTGCTAAAAGACGATCAGGTGATATAGACTGGTCTTCGAGTGATCCTGAACAGATATTAATCTTAACAATTTCTTGCATACTGTATTAAATTTTCTACTACTTTTTAAACCTGATATTTTTATTATCAAGCCTATTTCTAAAGTAAAAGGATATAATTACTATAAAATTCCATGGATTTTGCATCTCAAACCAGAAGAATATTCTTCATATTTGGTAAATAATATTGCATTTATTTTAAATAATTCAACTCTAATAATTTATTTTATAGGATGCTTTAAGAAATTGTGCACGCAAGATTTTAAAACATTGTGACGATGCTACATATCATTATACAGATCCAAAACTTATTGAATCTGTTATTAAAAAGGTATACAGTATTTAACAAATTTGTTAAAAATTTATTACATACACTAAGTTTACTAATTATATACTTATTATAATCATTTAGTTTAAGGAAAATAATCAATTTTTTCCAAAAACAATCAGTGACTGGATGATACGTGAAATGTTGCAGCAGATAATTAATAACTGTCGTAAGTAGTTACTATAATTGGAGATGCACTAACCAAAATATTTACTTGTGTGAGTAATACAAACCCAGGAATGTACCAATTTAGATAATCCCTGATCCTCTATTATTAGGTTATGCAAAGTTTATTTTTTGTTTTGCATAACCTGTCCCTTTTTTTTTTAATATTACTATTTTTAACTAGATATTCTGAAATTGTCGAATAGGACCAACTGACCGGACCCAAGTTTCATATGTTATGCTATAAAAATGAAAAATTAACTTTGCATGATCCTTATGATTGATTTGCTTTTCTTTTAACATTTGTTTCTCAGTCATTTATGTTAATTGAGTTCAAATTTTATAGACAATTCATAGAAAAGACAAATAAAAAAGATGAACGAAAAACTACCGAATATTATCAAAAATATATTAACTGGGATATATCTAAAAAAAAAATGAACAATACTATCAAAATGAATTCAGAATCAAAAAAAAATGAGCATAAGGCCTTAGAAATTCTCCGAGATAGGTGAATTATGGGTCAGATAAGTTATTATAAGATATACAATGAAATCCTGGTGCTAAATATATGAAGGCATAAATGAAATGCTTGTTTTTATTTATGATTTATGGCAAACGGATTAATATTGTTAATTTATAAGCATAGTGCATCTCCGCAAATAATAATTTATTATTGTGATTATTAATACAAAATTTTGTATTAAATCTAATTAGATGAATATTTACGCAAATCTGTTCAAAACAAATTAGCCATAAAAGGATCAAAGGGCAAACCAAAAATGTTAGTCAATGTACACAAAAGAAAAAAAATTTTTTTAAGCGAAGGTGTTTCAAATAACAATAACAGTGATGATGGGCATATCCTAAGTAATGACAATAGGCATATCCTAAGTAATGATGATGGGCATATCCTAAGTAATGACAATAGGCATATCCTAAGTAATGATGATAGGCATATCCTAAGTAATGACGATGAGCAGATTTCGAATCATGATGATGAGCAAATCTCATATTACGATGATGAGCAAATCTCAAACCACGATGATGAGCCAACCTTAAATAACAACAATGTCTCTAATCCCGATTAAGATGACCAAGAACAAGAGAATAGAAGTTCAGAAAATGAATGCCAAGTTGTTACAAAAAATGAATGGAAATGAAATAATACTAAGTTAACCAAAAAAGGACTTAAGGATTCAAGTAACAATATTATCAACACAAAACCTATTTCTGGATTTACTGGTATGATTGTTGGATTGTTTATTATAGCTAATATAACATTTCTAAATTTATTATTATTTAGATTATGATCAACCAATTAAAACA